CGCGGCAACGTCCGCCGCCCCGACCACCGGCTTCAGTTTCGCTGGCACGCAGGCGAATGCCGCTTCCCAGCCCCAATCCAGTTCGCTCTTCTCCTTCTCCACTCCGGTGGCGTCGGCACCGTCCGCGGCGCCAACAGCCGGATTTTCTTTTGGCGCAACAACAACGCCGGCTGCGGCACCTGCGGCGGGGCTGATGTTTGGGTAAGGAGCATTTTATGTCCTTCTGCATCCCTGAGATACGTGTATGTGTCAGCTGACACTCTGGCAAATGAATGTGTCGCTGCCTGCATCTTCCAGAGCTACGGCCACAGATCGTCAGCACGCAACCTACTTCTGGATGTGCCTGGCTCCCCTATGTCATTACTGTGACGTAGGGACCTGGGGATGCCACCACAGTGCACGGCCTCAGACCAGCCACACATCTGCTAGTGTTGGATGCTGAAGATCCTGGCAGAAGCTGTATCTGTCAATTCACTTGCACAGCCCCATCTCTCCTTGGCACGTCATAGCCTTCTCCTCTTGTGGAAGTGTCTACGATCTGTGCTGGCCTAGCTCCTCCACCCCTCCCTACATAACTTAACATAAGAGGAATACTATAAAGCAGGGGGAGGCCACCTTGGCACTCCAGCTGTGCTGAAAATACAAATTTAATTGTGTATCTGCCTCTGGAAGTCACGCCTGTGGCGGTCAGAGTCTTGCAATGCCTCATGGGACTTGTAGTTTCACAACAGCTGGAGTGTCGCGGTGATCAGGAGCCCGTCCTACTGGCTGCGGGTGCGCCATTGAGCATTGACCGCTGTGGTTGGCTGTCTCAGTGATTAGGAGCCCGTCCTACCGGCTGCGGGAGTTATCGGTCACAGTGCTGCGGGTGCGCCATTGAGCAAGCTTCCAGCTCGAAACCATGACCCATACCTGCCAGCAGAAAATAAAACCCACCGCGGTTCTGCAAATATGTGTACAACTCACAACAAGGGGTTAAAGCAGGGGTAAACGCTGGCCCTCCAGCTGTGGTGAAACCACAAATCCCATCATGCATCTGCCTCTGGGAGTCACGCCTGTGGCGGTCAGTCTTGCAGTGCCTCATGGGACTTGCAGTTTCACAACAGCTGGAGTGCCGAGGTTGCCCACCCCTGCCCTAGAATGTCACTTGAGTTCCAAGTCTGATATCACATACAAAGATGGCGGCGCCCATAGTCTTGCTGTTGGAACAGACGGGACTGCTCGGGCTGCAGACATCACATACAAAGATGGCGGCACCCATAGTTTTGCTGCTGGAACAGACAGGGGTTAGTACCAAATACTAACCCCAAAAAACTGGAAGAGGAGAGTCTGGCCACATGTCCTTTTGCAAGTCATGTGACCGCTCTCCTCCAATCACAAGGCATTGTTGCAATTGTAAGTAGAAAACACTGCGTGGAACACTCCATCCTGTAGCCTGAAGTTTATGAATGAGTTGTGAAGTGCAGAGCACAGTGTAAAGACCGCCGTGTCCCAACAGACACTGATCTCGACTCCTGCTACAAATACGGTATCTAGAATAACGTTTGTTTTTGTGTTTTGTTTTTTTTTTCTTTTATAGGACCAATACCCCCAAGTTCACTCTGAATACACAGATCGGAAATAGTAATATGGGTGGAGCTACACAGCCTGCTGTTGGTGGAGCTGCACAGCCTGGCTTTGGAGGAGCTGCACAGCCTGGCTTTGGAGGAGCTGCACAGCCTGGCTTTGGAGGAGCTGCACAGCCTGGTTTTGGTGGAGCTGCGCAACCTGGTTTTGGTGGAGCTGCGCAGCCTGGTTTTGGTGGAGCTGCGCAACCTGGTTTTGGTGGAGCTGCGCAGCCTGGTTTTGGTGGAGCTACGCAGCCTGGTTTTGGTGGAGCTACGCAGCCTGGTTTTGGTGGAGCTACGCAGCCTGGTTTTGGTGGAGCTGCGCAGCCTGGTTTTGGTGGAGCTGCGCA